AGTTTCACCTGTATATATATATATATATATATATATATATATATATATAGAGCCACCCTTGTGTGTGCTAATAAACTGTGTCTGTCTCCAGAAACACACAGGCGCAGTAGGGCAAGCCATTCCCTTCCTCCCTGCTTCTCCTTCATACACCCTTCTCTAAGTTAGCATATTGACAGCTGCTGGAGACTGCACTGCCCTCGTGATCTTGGACTGGAACTGAACTTCCTGTTCAGGGAAGCCAAGCTAACAGAATTGGAGCCAGCTGTTCTAAAACGTGATGACTGTAAGTGCTTGGGCAAAAACTTAAAGAAATACTTTGCTGGATGTATATTTGTTTGATTAGGTTAATTATTGGAAAAAAAGTTTAAGTGTTTAATAATTCTTTAACAACCCTTGAGCTAGGATATCAGCTTTTTAAAGAGGAACTTTAGAGTATATTTAACAATTTGCAAGACGGAAGCATTTTTTTATTGCAGAAGGTACATACTGTATGATATTATTACTACTGTGGCTGGAGGATTTGCAAACAAGAGACCCTGACATTGTTCACCCCTTGTGCAACTGAAGGAGTAGAGAGTAAAGACCTATTTACACCAGTGGGATCAAGCAATGCTCTGTATAATGTGCCTCGTTGGCGTGCATTGTGTCGGAGTGGTGCAATATGTTGTTATAATGCATCGTCCTTTTCACCTTAATTTTTTCTTTTTTTAACTTTATTAAAATGTCACAAAATCACATTTTATTCAACTCTGTGCAACGCGCTGCATTGCGATGTGATATAGTGCATCACATCATGCTGTGTAAAACAAAGCACGTTGTTTATGTGTTGGGTCAACACTGCCAAATGCAGCTGATTTGAACAAGCCGTAAGGGTATAATTTGTGGTTGGGGGCAGGAATACAATGAAGAGTTTCTTTTGTGTCTTTGTGCGGTTGTATGTTGTAGGGTTGTGCTTGGGGCAAATCTAGAAAACACAGATATTCTGCCACTGAAAGGTCACCTGCATACTCTATCGACTGTATTACCAAAAAGTGGGTAAACCATACAAAGAGAAAGTGCAAGACGTTTGTGGGATTTACATAACATCACAATTTCTGTCTCAGATTTTCATTTCTTTGTGGAGTTCTACTTTAAGATCCTCATGCAAATCAGACATTCCAATCAACTGGCGTTAACGTGCTGATTGAAGTAGACTAATGGTGGGTGTTATAGATACATTTTGTAATCAAATCATTTACACAGCGATTTTAATCTCTTGCTTCTGAGAGATTTAACCACTTGTTGACAATCATCTCATTAGCAGTACACTGAGACAATTATCTCATTAGCAGCACATTGATTCCAGCATGTTGCAAATGAGGTGACTACCAACAAGTGGTTAAATTCCTTAGTAGCACAATTGCCCTTGTGGCCCTACTCTTAAAATAAGCCTGTGCTCTGCCCTCACAGGGCAAAGCAAAAGGGTCCACCCTAAAGGACAAGTAGCTCATTCTCCCACATCTCCTTGAGTGCAGCCCACCTGCTCACATATTTACCTTTGTACTTGATCCAGCAATCTCCACTGTGTGGCCCTGCCCAGCGCCACACAGCCTTTCCTTTGGAAATGCCCCTGGCAGGCCTTCTTCTCAGTGTATATGCTCATTCATTCATCCCTATGGGTAAGTCATACTCATGGTGGCCTCCAGTGGTCCAGCAAAGTAAATCCGACCTTAAGGAATGAAAAAGGCTGTGCAGAGATGGGGAGGACCTCACAGCAATGATCGCTGTATCAAGGTAGAAGATAAGTATTTGAGCTGGTAGGCTGTCCCCAGTAAGGTGGGGGAATTAATTAAAGAACAATTGTACCTAAAGGTCATCCATTAACCTTCTCCTCCCCAGCAGCATACACCTTCCTTCCTTTTTTCCCTGCTGCTGCATTCAGGAGTGAAGTAAAGTTCCTGCCAATCTAAAAGTCTCTGGAGTTGAAGCTTACACAGGGCTACGAATGTTATGCAGTCAACAAATTCCTTAGGTGACCCAACTATAGATTTACTAATAGTGGCTACTTCTCTATTCTGACTCCAACCATTGATGATTTATGTCTTACTGAGACCTCTATGCCTGGTCTGTATAAGCAGATATAATCACCGTGGACAGTCTTTATCAACTAGCTGAGCTCACCAAATACCTTTTCATCCGCGAAGATCTTTATTGAATGCAGCAGGTTACAGCAGACAACTGGATGTAGTAGATGATTGTAAAGACGCTATTTGCAGGTCAAAACAAGGTAATGTTTCCCTCCATGTGAGCATATTAGCACGTGGCCATGAGACAAGCATCCATTTTGATGCCATAAAGGCAATGTGAGAAGAAAGGGGAAATACATCATAAAATGGGAGGGAACACAAAAAAATAAACCAAAATGCCCACGAGAGTGCAGTATATTGACCAGATATACTGATAATATGCTAGTAATGCTTAAGGAAATTAACTATATGAATTCCAAATTCATCGTAAAATGAGTATTAACCATGACTATGCATTCTATCATATTTTCATACAATAGCTGTAACAGCAAATTCTCCTTGTTATAGCTCAGTCGTTCTCAACCAGAAAAAAATAGAATGCAATAGGAAACTCTTCTGTGCTGCTCAGGGGTTTACCTACAAATCATGGGGCCCTTCTTAAGTTCTTCTTAATATGGGGGATTCATTTCTCCACAGTGCCTGTAGCTACATAGGTCAGCAAGGGCTTGTTTAAAGGTCATTTACTGCTGGTTAAAAATATGTAAATCTTTAAACATTCATAGGTTTACTTTAAAGTAGGTCTTGCATGAAAGAATGTGATTCTAGCTGTACAAACTACGTTACTTTCTGCAACTTTGTAAATGAACAGACATGTCTTAAAATGTCATGCGTGGTATATTCTGGCATAAAGAACCTGACCCTTCTTGCTCCTTGCTGATGATTTCAGCTCGACTTTACAGAATGCCATACTGACAAGACATCTTAGTTTCTGCAGACTTCCTGGTCTATTGGTAATGTGATGTGTAACGTCAGCAATCTCTCTACTCTTCAGCCAGTTATGCATCTGTCTTGGGAGACATCAGAGTTAGGGAGGGCAACATAAAACAAGGTGGTTTGCTTTTACGCATTCTGAGGATAATTAGATATGTCAGCTCCAAAATATGGGAGGTTTAGAGCAAAAGAATGGAACTATGAACTAATTTTTTTTTAAAAATAACACCTTATTTATTGAGATCAAAAAGCAAAGTAATCTTTAAAGTATATGTAAACCCAATAACTAGAATTTATTTAACCTGTTCTACCTAGTGTGACGAATTTGTGCGTCAGCTGGCTCCGCTGTCCTGTGCTGAAAGTGCACTCACTGGTTTGCCCCCAGCACAGCTCCCCGTCACTGTTCACGGTCAGGAGCTACTAGGATGGACTCTCAGTCATGTGACACTGTAACAACCAATCACAGTGCTCACATAATCAGAAAGCCCGCCACCAACTTCAGGTGTTAGGAACTTCTTAAAAGGCCTTCGGGAATTTTAATATGTTAATGTGATTTTAATGCTTTTAAATCTGCAGCTTTCATTAAAGCAGACCTTGTAGCTAAAATGCAAAGTGTCCCCCTCCCCTTTGCTAAAAAGCAACATAAACATTAAAAAAAATGCTGGGGGGGGGGGGGTTAGTATACTTACCTTTCCCCTGATGTTCACCCGCGGCACCCAGACGAGAGTGATGTCATCCTCCTTCCAGCAAGATTTGGCAAATGTAGAGTACTCCCAATCTCACTGAGAAGAAACCCCTGCACTGTACTAAAGTGTCTTCTTGTGGGATTTGGAGTGCTCACTATTCCCCTGGATCTTGTTGGCAGGAGGATGACATCACCCCTACACCCCACCTGTAAAAGCTGGTGGAGAGGTAAGTATATTATCTATTCTTACTCCGATTGTTGTATTCGCGATTTATCCCTTGCCTGGCCTGTAAAAGCAGATATAATCACTGCGGACACTCCTTATCAGATAGCTGAACTCACAAAATACCTTTTTTCCACAAGGTGCTTTATTCCGTACAGCAGACAAGGATACAGCAGATGAATGAATAGATGGCACGTGAAGGTCAAGGATGATAATGTTTCCAGGCTAGCATGTGCATGTGGTCTTGTTACAAGTAGCCATGACACTAAAACCACTACTGGAGAAGAAGGGCGGTACATTACACACAAGGGGAGGGCAATGCAGAAAAACATGGTGCAATAACCCAAAACGACCACAAGATGTCAGTATAATAATCAGCTATACAATATCAATGAGCAAATGGCTTAAGGAAAGTTAACTATGCGATTCTCACTTCACATTTGTATGAATATTTACCATGACTATGCATTGTCATATTTTATACAACTATTGTAACAGCACATTATCTTTTGCTTTTGAAATGTTTATGCTGCTTTTTAGTAAGCAAAAGGTGTGGGTAAGGGCACTTACAATGTAGATCTTGCATGGAGTGGCCCACTTAAAAATCCTCCCATAAAGGTGCTTGTTCAGGTACTTCCTGGGTGTCAGTGCTCTGTTCCTAGTCTCCCAGTTGCGTTCCTGTGTTGTCACGCGATCACATGGGCTTCTGATAGGGACTACAACACACAGAAAATCTGCTCTAAGCCAGAGCTGGAGTACATGTAGACATGAAGTGACTGCAAAAAGGTTGCATGAGATCAGTAGTGCTGAGATGAAAGAAAGGATGAAAAAAAAGAAGAAACCATTTTCTTTATTTGAAAAAATAAACAAAGCAATGATTTATGATAGAGAGCAAACTAAATGCCATTCAGTTGGGGTGTACATCAACTTTAATAACATTAAGGGACTAGTTGTACTGCAATGATTCTTGCCCTATATAGTCACAATTCTGTTCCAGGATGTCTTTAAATCTATTATCTTTTCTTGTCAGGGAGTTTGGCCGCTGGAAGGTGAAGAACATGGCCTTAGAGAGCAAGGAATTTCCGAATCTCACGCTGGCTCCGGAGTTTGTGCGCACCATTCGTCAGCTGGGGAGGAGGCCGTCCGCGGCTCAGATTACAGAGAACCTGATAAAAAAATATGGCACGCATATTCTGCTATCTGCGGTGCTCGGAGGTGAGTGTACCGCCATGAGTGATGCTGAAACCTCCAGATTATATGTGTGAAATGATCTGTGTGATACACCACGCAGCAAACTTTCTTGGGGATACAAACAATTAGAGATAATATCACCGACTATATATATACCACACTTGATATCGGTAAGATGAAAAGCACAGCACTCTGTTACTATAGTAACAGATCATACAGGTGACAACATCCGATAAGAACAGATGTGTGACAATATGTTTGTCTTTTTTCTGTTTGTTCTTTATCGTTATATTGCCGGAGGCGGGTTTTTTTTTTCGAAACCAGAGCACCGGTAAGGTTTTGTTCACTTGGGTGTTAAAAGGGGGCTGCAGTGCATATGCTTGACATTTTAAAAGCAACCCCCCATTTCAGGGACAAGGGTGCATTGAACCAAAAAGGTCAGTGCACACCAGCTTAGTGATGCCTCCCCACATGGCATTATGCTGCCTGTAAAGTTGATGCAATTGACTTTAGCTGCTTCCCCTACACACACAGCGCATATGTGTATATGAAAAGATGGATTTTGGCAACGGATAAAAACATAATATTACCACTTTATAAATCACTGGTCCGGCCTCACCTTGAGCAAGCGGTTCATTTTTGGTCACCCCCAGGGAAGATGTTCTTGAATTTGAGAGAGTTCAGAGAAGGGCTACAAAATTAATAAAGGGGATAGAAGGCCTGAGTTATGAAAATCGCCTACAGAAATCAAACCTGTTCTCCTTAGAAAATAATTGAGAGGGAACCTTATTGCAGTTTTCAAAATAATTAATGGGGCCACAATATTCAGAATAAGATGTTTACAGCGAGAACTCTATTGATAACATAACAAGAGATTAGCAGAGAGGCAGTTTAATCTTAGACTGTGCAAGGTTTTTTGTTTTTTTACTGTGCGAGTAGTAAAAATGTGGAATTCCCTTCCACAGTCAGTAGTGTCTGCTTATAGCATTGATACATTCAAGAAACTTTTAGATAAGATTCTTGGTTCACCAAATATACAAGGATATGGGAACTACTAGAGCCAAGGATACAGACACATACATACATAGGTTGAACTAGATGGACCTGTGTCTTTATTTAACCTTACCTACCCAAGGAAACATGGAGCCAGCTTCCCGACCATTCAGGAAACCAGGCGGCAGGTAATGCAGCTTCCTGCTGTTTGGCCTGCTCAATGCTGATTGGCCGAGAAGCCAGCTTCCCAGTCAATCAGCATCGAGCTGGCAAAACAGCATGGAGCCAGCTTCTTGGTAATGAACCGCCACCCGGCTTCTTGATTGGCCTCGAAGCCGGCTCCATGCTAATTGGCTGTTTGGCCGGCTTCCTGGCCAATAAGCATGGAGCCGGCCAAACAGCATGGAGCCGGCTTCCTAGCCAATCAGCATGGAGCCGGCTTTCTGGGGAATCAAGAAGCTGGGCAGTGGGTATTGACATGCCGCCTGGCTTCCTGATTGCCTGAGAAGCCGGTATCGGTATCCGATATTGGCGAGTACCGAAAGATAAATATTGGTACTCGTACACGATACCGAAAAACCAGTATAGATGCATTCCTATAGTTTTCTGTTTAGAGACAAGTCCTTTCAGTCTCTCAGTGGAGTGTTACAGTATACCCTACTGCTCGCCTCTTCATCCTCCATCTCACTCTCAAAATACCCGGTGCTGCTCATTATCTACAGGTGAGGAACTGCCTGGGTGAAACAGAATTTCTGGACTGGCTTCTTTACCTGCTGTGCTACATGCAAACTGCGGGATGGAGCACTCTTGGGGGCATATAGACACCCTTTATTACCATGCCTTGGGTTCTATCACAATGCATGTATGTACACACACACACACATATTTTTTATATACATATATATATATACAGTATAATGTAGCTACATTTTTTCCCTTGCCAATTTGTTTCTGCTATTCTTGCTGTTATAATCACACGGCAATGACTTCATCATTAACACATCTGCATGTTACCTTTCAAAGGATATCATATGGATCACAAGTATGTTTTATATAGGAATATTCAGCCTGGAGCCTCACACCTTCATTGCATTCTCTTTCACAGTATGATAACTTACCGCATCATTAATATTAATGTACGCAAGGGACGGGGAGCACAGTGATCACATGTATGAATGAAGTGCCAGTCAGTGCATTGATGTTATTCTGTGGACTGGACCTTGGTCTAGTTTAAGCTCTTTCACTTGAGGCAGGACACATATAATACGCATGCTGGGACTAGTTGTTTCACAAGCATAATGTGAAGCATAATGATGTGCTGTAGCCCTATTCAGCCACACAAAGTTCACTTATCATGAATGCACTGCTGTTTTCCTTTAGGGAGGATAGTGAAAGATGACTTCTAATTGGTTGTTAGACATGTGTACAACAAAAAAATTAGTTTTTAGACGAAGCAAATGAAAATGAAAAATGTTTTCATTTGTTTCGTCAAAGGAAACAAATTTTTACGTTGTTTCGGATTCAGAGGCTCGTTGAAGCTGCACACTGAAACCGCAGAACGAGCAGCAGCCATATCGGCCGACGGCGCGTTATTCACATGCATGCCGCCATTTTGGAGTAGATCTTGTTTTACACCAAGATGGCGGGGCCCACATGTTCGAAAGCCGCCATCTTGGTTAATACCAAGATCCACTCCAAAATGGATCCGATATGGCCACCACTCTTTCAGCATGTGACATCACCGTCATGTGCCGTCATATGTTCCGCCTCCAAGATGGCGGCGGGCATGCACAGAACACGCTGGCGGCCAATATGGCCACCGGTGTGTTCTGAAAACGAATTTATGTATGCCCGAATATCGTTTTAGTATATTCAGGCATATATTAAATTCGTTATTTTGGATTCGGAGGAACCGCCGAATCAACTGATTTTCGTTGATTTGCAGGTTCATCCGAATCCGAATGCACATGTCTATTGGTTGTTAGGGTTTACTGAGCTTTGTACAATGCCATTAACAGGTAATATGTGAATGACATATTTAATAAAGTAGTGCAATGATCAGATTATATCAGTTTAGCAGCTGTCAGACAATATAATAAGACTGATTGCTGCGTGTAATGGTCCTTTGTACCGTTTTACCAATCAAAGAAGTCTAAGCAGTATTTACATCTGAGACCCAAGAGGTGATAACATTGCCTTATGTGGCTCTGCCCTCATAGTCTCCTGCAGAATATTGTAGACTGACAACTCCACCAATCATAACAGTAATAGACATAACAGTTTTGTACCAACTGGGGTTACAGTCCATGTGGACTCTTAAAAGGGCTACTGAACTGAATTGCATTACATGCAGCATTGAAGTTGCATTAAGTATTCAATTAAATAGCTTTCCCCAGCAGATGCACTGGTAGGACAGTATGGCAGAATGGCCTTTACTCTGGGTAAGACAACACAAGCAGTATCCTGCATCTATCTGAATGTATCCTAACAGCAATAACAGTCATACAACCTGGTTGGAGACAAACAGCTCATACAAGACATACCTCAACTTCCATAGGGTCATGGAGGATGGTTAATAGTAGTTCAGAAGACAGTAAATTTAACTGCAAGGCTCAATATATGATTTTGTGACAGTATAAATCCCCAAGTGGTTACCTTCCTTTCACATGTGCAGTATGTGGCTTTGAGGATCATTGGATACAAAGGCGGGTCTATTATTCTTAGACCTGATTGCAACCTGAGTGCTTTGTAGGTTGAGGTTCAAAAGCTCCAAAACGCTCAACAACCAAAATCCCACGCTTTTACATTGTTTCTGTTCATGAATGAGCACTTAGGTGACTGCAGCTTGACACATGTAGCTCAAAAAAGGTTAGATGAGTATCTTTTAAAGCAGACTGGACTTCAATGGGAATGCCTGAAAAACACCTGAAAATGCAAGTTTTTCAAGCCTAAAGAACCATTTCTTCCTCCTATTAACTAGCATTCCAGTGGCTAAACCAAAAACACTCAAGCCTGAATACGCCTGAAAAAACACTCCAAAAAGTGCTCTCTCTCAGGGCGAATGTAGGGTTAGTTCTGACATTTTTTACATCAGGTGAGAGACGTCAGGTAGCCTATAAGTGGGTGTGTTTGGGAACAACTCTTCTGCTTTAAAAAGTTTTTTTTTTAAATTTGTGATAAACAGACCTGGGTTAGATTGGGGCACTACATCAATGCCTGGCAGAACTGTAAAAATATTTAGGTTTAATTTGCAGTTTTCACTTGAAGGTTCCTTTAAAGAAAACAGGGTGTTTACCCATACAAATAAACCCTTTTTAGGCCAGTGTCCTAAATGTATAACTAGGCCTAATGGGGTTCATCTATAAGTATGGAACAAAAAGTGGAGTAACCAATTGAAACAAGATTCCATCTGTCGTATTTCTAGACTGGGTTTGATATAATAACGTGACTTAGCTGCTATTGGCAGTATAATCATATTCCTTTCCCTGTGGAATAGCCCAGTAAACGTATGTTGTTACAGAATTGTTTTTATTTGCTGTACTACAGTTTATTGCACGTATCTGTGCTTTGTAAATGACTTATAATCATGAAGAGTCTTTTGCTGCTTCTTGAGTTCTTCGCAATCTGTCCTGAAAGTCTATGATTTTACATGAGTTTTCTCTCCATATCAAGAAATGATGGGCTCCTAATTAACGAAGCACTCAGTTTTATCTGCAGTGCACCTTACTGGGGTGTAATTTGAATTGCTTCAAAACACAGAAGACATTTCCACGCTTCTTGTCTATATATAAGAGTTTGTATTTTCTTGCAGTATAATCATGGAAATATTTTTTGATTTGGAACCCTGCTGTCACCATTCCAGTCACCTGCAGAAAGAATTGTAGAATGACTCAGATAATTTGTATGCTGCTTTTAATTGTAAAACAAAACAGCGGCATTGCTAATCGGAATGTAGCAAACATTGAGGTCAATCCACAGTGATGTAGGAGTAAGCTGCATTCACTATTTTATCTCATGATTATTTTCTCTTC